AAGGGGCTCCCATGACGCACCTCCAGATGCAGCTGCGGGTAAAGGAGACGCGCGGCCGGCCGGGTGGCCAGCTTGAAGCCGCACTGGGTATCGGCGACACCGCCAACACCGCCGATGGCTGCCAAGGATGCCTGGAAGGCATGCTGGAGGAAGGCCCGGACGGGGGCGCGCTCGACGCGCGCATCGCCCGACCCGCTGGCCGCCCGGCTGCCCACCGCCAGGGCCATGCCATGGCCAGGGTCCTCGGCCGCGCGCAGCTGCTCGACACACGCGTCCACCATGCGCGGCAGGGCGGTCGGCAGGTCGGTGGCCCCATCGGCATCGGCGAAGAGGATCAGCCGCCCACGGGACCGAAGCACACCGGCCGCCACGGCGCCGCCCTTGCCGACGTTGCGCGGCAGCCGAAGCAGGCGCACCCGATCGGCCGTGTATACCGACGTCAAGCTCCGGGCAACGTGCGCCGTGGCGTCGGCACTGCCATCATCAACAATCACCACCTCAAAGGAGAAGACATGCGTGCCATGGCTGTTGGGCATGGTCAGATGCAGATCCGACACAGCGAGGTCGGCCTCGGCCGCCGTGCTGGCATCGGCCGCACGCGCATGGCGATAGATGGGCTTCGTCCGGCGCCCGGGCTGCGCAGTCGGCTCAGCAGCCGCACGCCGATTGAAGACAGTCACATGCGCTGGGGGCGGAGTGCATCGAGGCGAAGGCCCAGCCGGCCCGGCCTCCACAAAGTAGGGAACCCCCTGCAGGAAGGCCGTCGCATTGGCCAGGGCTCGGCGGGTGTCGTGCGCCGCGCGAAGCTCCTCGGCCGATGCCCCCTCGACCGGGTCCTCCCCGGCCGCCAGCAACAAATGACGCAGAGTCTGCTCCATCATGGCCGGCAGACGGCCCTGCTCATTGTAGGCCGGTACCACGATTGACAGATCCACCAGCCGGTCGGTGGTGGTGTGGGTGAAGGGGGGAATGACCCCAGTGCGGAGACCACGTCGAGCGCGGGCCGAAGGCGCTGGCGCGGCGGTCGCACTCGACTCCGCAGCATCGCCCACCTCCGACACGGGGGCAGGGGTGCCGGGCGCGTGGACCACGCGCGCAGGCAGCGTGAATACCGACGGGAAGGGGGCCGACGGGCCTCCCTCGGCCGGGTCCACCAGCGTCGTGGCAAAGTCCATGGATGTGTCGAGGGCCGGCGCCTTGCGTGAGGGGAGTGCCATCCAGAAGACCAACTGACAGGGGTACAGCGTGTAAGTGGGTGAGGTGGCGGGGCAAACGGGCAGAGCAGCGATAGAGAGAGGGGGGGGGGAGGGAGGGAGGGAGGGAGGGAGGGAGGGAGGACCGCGCGTATCCCGACAGGCCTGACGGGAGATGTATTATATGCGCATGGATGCGTGCGGCGTACAAGTGAGGCTAAGGCAATGCCTCCAGACAGGTAGACGAGCCCCATCCGGTCGGCAATGATCGGGATCATGAGTGCGGCGGGGAAGGGACGAGGAGAAGCGGAGGGGAGGCTAAGAGCAGGATGAAGAGAGAGAGAGAGAGAGGGGGGGGGAGGGTAGAGAGGAGAGGGAGGGGGAGAGGGGGGAGAGGGGGGGGAGAGGGGGGGGCATGCTCGGGGGGCTTGGATTCCCTCCCTGCACCTGGCCCTTCAGCCGGGCTGTCCCGGGTGACAGTGGCGGCGGCAACAGCGGTCTCGGGTGCATGAGGGACACGCACGGCACAGAGGGACAGCCCGCGCACACCCCCACTGAACACGGACGGGGAACATATCCCTCCTTCTGGCCTTTCTCTCGCAAAAACAGCCAGAGGCTAGGGCTGGCCAAGTGCCAACGCTATTGAGTCATGGGGGATCGCTTGAAAGCCTGCACTCTCCCCTCCCGGGGGGGGGGGGGGGAAGGGCAGACGAGACATGCGGGGCGGCGGATAGAGTAGAGCACCCCAACCACTGGCCCCGGGCGCCCGGAGCAGGCCCGAGCAGATAAGGGGCCGGGGTGCCATCATGGAGAGCGCACGGGGGCCGGGTGGGGGCGGGGTCCGCCGCTCGCCGGCGCCTCCTCCTGGCCCGCGGCAATTGGGCAAGCAACGATCCCTCAGCGACCTGCTGCCGCTCTCCCCTCTCCGGACAATAGGTCCAAATTTTACCCTTCGCGCGCTTTTCGCATGCACTTCGGCCCCTTCTCCCCTTGGTCCAGACCCGCTGCCTCTGTGACGCATGGACACCGCATGCGCACCCCCGAGCGTACATGCACCAACCAAGCCCGCCATCTATTTTCTATACATGGGACAATGAGAGGGGGGGGGGCCGGGCGAAGGAGGGGCCTTCGCAGCCCTAACGGTGCATCACCTCGTAGGGGTTGCTCTCGACCGACTTGAGCTTGCGCGAGAGGTCGCGAGCAGTCAGCTGCAGGATGCGCTCCTGTCGATGAACCATGCGCAATGTGTCCACACGCTTGTGGGAGGCGTGGAGCTGCGCAAGGCCACGATCCTGGACACTACTGGCACCACCAGTGCTGAATGGACCGGCCGAGCTGGTCTGGATGTCCGCCAGAGACAGCAAAGCTGGCGAGGAGGCCGGCGAGGGAGACAGGGCACCCGACTCGCTGGAGACATCATCGGCGTCGCTTGCCATCGAGGGGTAGCGCTCGCGAATGGCATGGTACTTGCTGTCCAGGAGCACGCGCGCGGCCAGGAGCTCACGCGCTTGCGAAGCCGGCGCCGAAGAGAGGATTCGTCGCTCGCGCAGGCGCGCGGCATTGAGCGTTTGGAAGGGATGTCCCCCGGGCCGGCTCGACAGAGCCGAACAGGTGCCCGGGATGGGGATGCTCGGCCCGAGGGAGGTGCGATCGCTCATGGTGGACATGCGCTCGAGCGACACGGCACTCTGTGCACACAGGCGCTGGACACTGCGTGCTGCGGCATATAGATGTCGCTCCGAGATGCCGATGGCTAGATGGAACACACCCAGCAACAGCGGGATCCGGGGAGTGGACGGAAAAGTGGCAGGTCAATTTCAGCCCAGCGCCAGGCTAGCGCGGGCGACAAGGCACGCAGGCAAGAGAGGAGGGCTGGGGCAGATGGAGCTCAGGCGAGAGGGAGAGAGAGAGAGAGAGAGAGAGGCAGGGAGGGAGGTGTGAGACACGACATACCACGCGCAAGGACGCTCACCACAAACCCATACTCGCCGGAGCTGTGGCTGAGGGCATCCAGGTCCGAAATGTCATCCGGCGGCGGGAGATACACCCGGAAGGAGGCCGACGGATGCTCGGTCGGCAAGTTGTGGAAGAAGGACAGCATGGTCAGCGGAACTCGAGTGGGGAACTCCGGGTCCTCATTCCGGTCCCAGGTGTGCTTGTTGATGGGAATGGCAGCTGACGGTCGGGGCAGAGCTGACATCCCGCCAGCACGCCTGCGTGCTGATGCCTGTGCCCGCCGTGCGTCTTTTGACTCCCCGGCCGGGGCGTCCGCCGTGGGGAAGTACACCCGCTCGGCGCCCGGCATGAAGGCCCCGCCATCTTCAGTGCCAACGGCCAGACGCGCGGCCGTCGGTCCAGTCGACCTGGTGGGCCGGGCAGCCAGCGCATCCAGCAACGGCCGCTCCAAGTCGAAGCCTGCCCGATCGGCAAAGAAAGGACTCCGCAATTGCCCGGTGCTGGGAGGACGACCGGTGGCCCGGACCGGGAATCGCTGGGATCGACTGCCCGCTCGTTCGAGAGCCCGCACGGCGGTCAGCTCGGCCTGTACGACCTGGGGCTGGGTCGCGCGCAGGAATTGTCGCGAACGGCTACGAAGGGTGCGAGCCTGCACCGCCACAGACCCGAGAGCCAGCCAGTTGACCGGATGATCGGACGACTCGACCCTGCTGTTGGCGGAGGTGCCGCGGTGCCGGCTCTGAAGCATGGCCAGGCTGTCGAGGTCCTGATGCGAGCGAGGGGCCCGGCCCGGGGCCAGCCCCTGGGCCTGGAGCAGACTCCTCCACGAATGGAAGGACATCAGCCCCAAATGGCTGTCGCTGAAGGGCAACCGGTAGGCACTGTCCGTGGCTGGTACGAGACGCTCGCGCGCGGTTTCCAGAAGCGCCCCCGGGCCGGCAACTGCCTCGAGCTCCTCCTGCGAGGGGTACAGACGCCCATTCCGCATGACCAGGAACCCGGGCAGTCGCTTGCTGGTATCGGTGCCCGGCCGCGTGGAGTAGTCCACCAGACAGTCGAGCCCGTAGGCCAACTGCATGGCCACCACCAGGAAGGCCGCGGCTCGGACTTCCGGGAACCACACCGCGTTGTGCTGGGCACCGACATCCAGCTGAGCATCATCTCGGGCACTGGCCTGCTCCGCGGTTCCGTGTGATGGCGGGGCCAGGGGGAACTCCTTGGCCAGCGGGAGGAGCAACTCCGCAAGTTCGGTCGCCAGATAGCCGATGGGCTCTGCGGATGAACATCGAGCCAGTCAATCGAGCTGCAAGAGCATGAGGGGAGGAGAGGGCCGAAGAGGGAAAGGCCAAACATCGCGCACCTGGGACATGGGTCAGATTGGCCACCCGATGAATGGCCTCTGGGGCTGAGGTGGCCAGCCGGGCACCAGGAGGCTGGTTGCGCAGGCCGGTCAGCTCCCGAAGCGATGCCGGCAGTGTGCTTGGGGCTGGGGTGTACAGACCGGCGCTTTCGAAGAAGCGTGCCAGGGTCTGGATCACGGAGATAAGTGCCTCCGACCGGACGCGAGATCCGGGCTGGATACACACACACAGACACACACACACACACAACACCCCGGGTTAGTATCGCCCATGCCATGTATAGGAGCGAAGATGCTATCAGTCGGGCAACGCACATGGCCTGACAGAGATACCAGGCTTCGACAGTCCTCCAGTGACCAGGTTGGAAGGCGGAGGTGCGCCGCCGAGCAATACAGCAGTGCCGCCGCCAGGGTCTCATTCAGCTGGAAGTGATAGAGTCGCAGTGCCTGAGATCGAGCCGAGTCGACATCGGCATCGTCGTCAGACTCGCCCTCGAGGCCTTCCGGGATGGAGGGATCGGCCACAGCCGGGACGGCGATCTGGAAGGCTGCTGCCATGCGCGGACAATCCAGGAAGGTGACATAAGCGAGCCACAGCTCACGGACCACCGGCTGTGAATTTCCCGACACAAGGGACGCGCATGATCATGGAAGAGAGGGGTGGGTGAGGAAGGGTGCATGTGAGCTCATGGATGTGTGTGTGTGTGTGTGCGAGGGCGAGGGCGAGGGCGAAGGCGGGTGAAAGGAGAACAGACAGAGAAAGAGGGTGAGGGGGAATTGTCGTCGGAAACGCACCGGGAAGGAGGGGCTGGCCCAGCCCCGATCAACTGCCAACTGAGCTGAAAGCTGGAGCATGCGTTGAAATTGAAGGTAGCGAACCTTGTGATCCTGGCGCGAGAGGAGCTTGACTGTCACGTGAATGTTTTAGTGTACTGCCGGCGCATGTGCAGACGCCGCTCCCGGCGCGTGCGTGTGCCTGTATGTATGTGCGTGTGTGTGTGTGTGTGTGCGTGTGTGTGTGTGTGTGTGTGTGCGGTTGGCGCGTCCGCGCACGCGCGCATAATGGGGCGGCCGGCTGGTCAGCCAGGTCAGGGCTGTGGGACAGTCCGCCGCACGAGGCCGGAGACAAGGGGGGCGCCCAAGAATTCCCCCCCGTCCCGTGCCCAGCCATGCCTGCGGCCCATTTACCTACACACTCACACTCACGCAGGCACTTTTACAGGGAGAGGCAAAAAAAAACGTGAAGGAAAGGTGGGCAGGTGTGTGTGTGCGTGTGTGCGTGTGTGCGTGCGCGCGCGGGGGCACGAGGAAAACACGCGCCAGCATACGCACCAGCGTCATCCACCGACAGGGCGCCCTCCTGGGAGGATGACCTATTTTTGCGGGCCTTTTTCCGGAGGACGCCCCCTCGGCCGGCCATATTGAAAGCCTCCTCATCATCGCCCCCCTCCGTATTGATTGCCTGCTGCTGCGAGTTACACACGCTACAGGTCCGCGCGCCCGTTAGCGAAGAAATAATCCACCTCGGTCGAGGCGTCCTGCAGACCGGGCACGCCGACGAAGAAGCCACTGAAGGGCCCTCCCGCTGGCGCTTGCGAATCTCAGCCAGTCGTTGAAGTCTGCTCACCTGCGCCGCGGCCTGCGCCATCTCCTCCTGCGATTTGGCCATCTTTGCGCGTGTCGGGTATCCTCGTGCTCACCGGCCTCCTTCCTCTTTCCCGGACTTTTGGTGTATCCTCCGCCTGGTGTGCTGGGGTGTAACTCGACGAGCCGCTAGGGTCGCTGTCGTGCCGCAAAAAAGTACGTGCGCCTTTGCAACGACATTGACGAGGGGGCGGGGGGGGATGGGATGTGTGTGTGTGTGTGTGTTAGGATCTGCGGCAAGTGAAGTGGACGCGAAAGAAGCCAGCCCAACTGACAGCCCCCCTTTTCCCCGCTCTATCGGTGACCGCGACCGGTCCAACACAGCCTCGGGATGATGTCTGCTCTTTTCCTCGCCCGCGCTGGCATGCCGGCCAATCGGGCAACTCTTATCGGGGGAGCTCGGTCCATCTCCACTTGGGGCTTGGTTTCGCCCAGCGGTGCGTCACGCATCGGCCGATTGGCCGCCGGGACGACGGTCAAGACGCACCTGCTGAATGGATGTGCCAGGGGGGGGGGGGGGAGGGGGGACGGAAAAATTGCAGAGATCTTGGTCGGACCGAGACAAAAAGAGAGGGGGGTGGGAGGCATGGCGAATGCGCTCGGGCCTCGCCGCCCAGCCCCACACCCGGGTGGTGTCTTTTCTCGGGGCGGCCATCCGGCGGCGGTGGTGTGTGACCACGTGACTAACATTTGCCCCCTCCACGCAGCCACCATCAATCGTGGCTTCCCCCCGGCGGCGGTCCTGAGCCTGGGCCCAGGCCAGCCGGCCCCGACGCCTCTCGGCGTGGCGGCGGCCGACGGCGACGATTCGGCCCCCCAAGAGAACAGCGCGCTGCCGGCCGCGCGGAAGTACTACACCATTTGCGAGCCGGAGAACTCGCGCGTCATGCTGGTGTCGACGCCCCTGCACCCGGCCAATCCGCACAGCCCGGAGCGGCCGCTTCTGGTGGAGCATGTCATCGGCCTGGGGTTCCCCGGGCGGCGGCCTTTCGCTCGGCAGTCGGACGCCGAGCTGGTCCTCAATCGGCCAACCTTCGCGGCGCCCCTGTACCAGGCTCACCCCGGGAGCGCGGAGTTTGCCTCACTGCCGGCCGCTACGCAGAAGGCTCTGACCCGGCACTACCAGCGCCTGGAGCAGCTGGGCGTGGCCACGCCGCTGGATTACCCCTCGCACATCCTGACACACGACCATGGCAATGGCCGTGTGCTCCTATCGAACACGGTCACCGGCCAGACGGAGCTCCTGCTGCCGGGCGAGTCGCGCCTGGTGACCCTCCTGCGTGAGGCCAACCGGCAGCTCATGCGTGCCGGCATTATTCGTCGGCTCCGGCGCAATGCCAGCCCCATGGACGAGGACCAGATCAATGCCTTCAACACCGAGCGGCCGAGTTGGCTGATGCGCTGGCTGTCCGAGCGCTTCCGTCGCCGGCATGGCTTTGTGTCGCCAGAGTGGGCCGTGTGTGCGGCCCCGGGCGAGCGCCGCTACCAGGTGGTCGATCGGAAGTGCGTCCGCAGGTGGCCGCCGCCGCCTCCCTTTGTGCCGCCCGAGGCGTGCGGGGGTGACCTGGCCCTGCCGCGGTCCTCCTCCCTCCTTGGCAAGATCGCCGAATACTGACTGGTCCCTCCCCCTGCCGCACATCAAGTACCCATCGTTTGTGGGACCTGGGCCACATGGATCCCGTTCTGGGCCGGCCGCGGGCGCTGCCGGAGGACGAGCCGGTGCCGGGCGATTGCTCGGCCGCCGCCCCGGACACCGATCTGCTGGCCATTGATGGCGGTATGTTACCCGGATGGCATTCCCGCGTGATGCCTAGCCCTCTCCCCTCTGTCTGCCCCTGCCGAGACTGACCTCGTGCTTGCTGGAACCACACATACGCACACAGGCCAGTTGGTCTTCATCAACCCCGATGGGAGCCGCTCGATCGCGCTCATCGAGAATCCGAACATCATCCCCCAGGCATTCGCCAAGGATGTCGCGGCCCTGGAGCAACAGGTGATGGATGACGAGACGGCCGCCGGAGACCTCATCTCGGCAGCGGCCGCTGGCGGGGAGGAGCCCCAGACGCTGGATGCGCCGCAAGATACCCGGCCCCTGGCGTCGGACCAGGCGGAGGAGGAGCGCGCCCTCTGGCCGTACACTCTGACCATTGCCCCCTTCCTGATTATGGCCCCGGGAATCAACTACATCGAGGTGGAGTTGGCCCCGCCGGAGGGCTGTGCCATTGTCGGCATCTCCGGGCCGCGTGTTGTGTCCGAGGGGTCGATCTTCGACCGTCGGCCGCTGTCGCACATTAACCGTGAGGAGTTGCAGGTGCGCACCTGGGCGGGCAATGTGTCTGCGAGAAGTATGGGCAGGCGGGAGGGGAGCAGCTTAAGATGATGTAGGATGCCATGTTGCCCGGCACCGTGGCCGCGACACGTTGACACACACACACACACACACACACACATGCGCGCGCGCGCGCGCCGCATGGATGTCGACAATGCCCACACAGGAGTTCAAGGATGACAATCAGAACTTCCTGACCAATGCCTCCTTTGAGGTCCCCCCACAGCCGCCCGTGGGCCTGCCTCTGCCGACGGTCCAGCGCCCCCAGCGGTCGGCCTCTCTGACGCTGGATATGTACGGCTCTGCCGGGACGGGGCGCATCCTGGCCGATGTGTCGGTCTACATGCGGCGACTGGAGAACCCGGCGGCCGGTGACGGCCCGCTGGTCTGCGTGGGACCCATGTTTGTCGAGCACCGCCGCGTGTTGATCCCGGTCCGGGTGTCGGTCCATGCGACTGAGCTGCCGGAACTGGCCCGGCGGACGGCCTCCCTGCCGACGAGCACCAATCCGGAGGATGTCTACCGGCGCGATGTGGAAACCGACTTCCGCCGGCGGATCCTTGTCAGCCAGCACCAGCTGTACGTGGATCTGGAGCTCCCGGCCGGGGAGTCCCTCTACCACCCGGCGCAGGCCAGCCCCGCTGGCGGGCAGTGAGGGGGGGTGGGAACGCGCCGGCCGCGGGATCTCTCCCGCCCAGCAACGCCACTGTCATCTGTTCTCCTCCGACCTGTGCCCTCCCCCCCCCCCCCCCCTATCCGGGGGAAGGGCAGGAGGAAGGCCTCCACAATTGCATAGAAAAAAGGGGGGATTGTGTCTGCTCTCCTGGCGCTGGTCTGCCCTGCAGTGTGACTGGCAGGGGGAAGGGGCTAAAAATGATACACCCCCGCCCTCAACTAGAGCCCTTTCTGCTTTTCCTGCTTTTCCTTTCGTTCCCTTGTGGCTGTGTGTTTCCGCCCGGCGCGCGAGTTGGACGCGTCGGGATGGGGGCTCTCGCGTTGGCGGAGGGGTCGCCGAGGAAGGGGCGGGATAGCTCGAGATCCGATATTTACCTGGCATAGAAGTACTGGCAGAATAGTCGGATTAGTGGAACCAAAAACCCTGGCAATGTGAGAACGGGGGATTAAAAATTACGGATATATCGTGGCTCGGAGGGCCAACGTCGATGGCAGTCTAGAAAGAGCGCCGCCCACGACGGCCTTTGGTTCGGGGGACCTACTCCGTGGCCAGCCATGTGGACGGCTTCGGCTTGCCCAGCCACCGTACCGAACCATGGTGAAACTTCCAGACCCGGAGGCCAGCCCGGGAAGGCACCGACACGGTCGGGGGGTATTTTGCAGTGAGAGACGACGGCAGGAGGGGTGGTGCCAACGCTCAGCTTCCACCCTACCCCGGCCACCCTGCGTAATACCCTCGGGGCCCCCGTCGAAGGAGGGGTTGTGTTGGGTTCCCTCGGACCGCAGAGTCCTCTTTCTCTGTGCTCGCCAGCGGCTGTCCGTCCCTGGGGTCTTTCTCTTGTTGTCACACGCGTGCGTGCCCCCCCCCCCCCCGATAGGGCGGGCCCAGGCCTGCTCACTTCGTCCGCCCCCTTATGATGGAGAGGCGCCCTCGTCCCTCGGTGTCTCGTCCACACGAGGGGACTCATTGCCGGGAGTGTGCACGCAGCCCAGTTGCCGGCTGCCCCAACAAAGGTGTGTCGGCTCTGGGGGGTTGTACCCATGCGGTCGCGCGGGGGGGGGGGGGGGGCGCGGGATGTTGCGCGATGCTGGTGGGCGTTCCCCCTACCATCGCGGCCCTGTCTCCACAGAGAGCCCGGGATTGCGTTGGCCCTCCCTGCGCCTTACGGCCATTCTCTCTTCTCTCTCTCTCTCCCCCTCTCTTTCTCTTTCTCTCGATGTGGCAGGGGGGATGGACCGGGGGCGCCTCGGCCCCGGGGCAGGGCGGGGGTGGGAGAGGGCGTGCCAGGTCTGTGTGTCGGCGGCGACCCCCCGCCGCCCCCCGGCAACGGGCACACGTGCCCCCCGCTCCCCCAGCGCCTTCCAAGTATCTGCGAGGGGGGAGGGCGGGGGGGGAGGGGGGGAGTGGCAGGCTAGTGTGCGAGATGACCCATAAAGGAAGCCCCACCACCGACGAGAGCCCCAGCGAGCGGCCTCTTCGTGTGTCTACCTTTTGTTACCTAACTTAGTGTAGAAGCAAGAACCGGCAAAATGGTCCGTTTCCTCCTCCTACCCATCCTCCCCCTCCCCTCTCTCGCCTCCCCGCTGCTCTCCTCTCCTGCGGCCCCACCGCCGCCGCCTCTCGCGGACAAGGACCGACAGTGCCCAGGGCGCGCGCGTGACTCGTCGCCGCCGCCGCCGCCGCACCCCTCGGCTCGCATGCCGGCGGTTTGTGGTGAACCTCGCCGGCTCTGCCGTCGTCATGTGGCCGGCCTGCGAAGCACTCCTCCTAGCACTGCGCGTTCGGGCGTGTGTGTGTGTGTGTGCGCGCGCGCGTGCGCCCACCCCACCGCCTCACACGCGCGCGTGCGATGATATCCCCTCCTGGAGCCCTGTCGCTTCCTGTCCCGCGGCGTCGGATGTGCCGTGCATCCGACGCACGCACGCGCGCGCTCGTCTCCTCCTTTGCGTTTTTCCAGTCTCTCGACATCGCCCCGGCGCCCGTAGGCTAACTCCCCTCTCCCCTCTCTCTCTCTCTCTCTCGCACGCGCGGCATACCTCTGCAGACCGTCCCTCTCATCAAGGTTGTCAACTCCACCACCGGCGCCGAGGTCGCCCTCCCCGCCGTCTTCTCGGCCCCCATCCGTGCTGATGTCGTGAACTTCGTCCACACCAACCTGGCCAAGAACAAGCGCCAGCCGTACGCCATTTCCGACATGTCCGGCCACCAGCACTCCGCCGAGTCCTGGGGTACCGGCCGTGCCGTCTCTCGTATTCCCCGTGTCGCTGGTTCCGGTACCCACCGCGCTAGCCAGGGTGCTTTCGGTAACATGTGCCGTGCCGGTCGCATGTTCGCCCCCACCAAGGTCTGGCGCCGCTGGCACCGCAACGTCAACGTGAACCAGCGCCGGTTCGCCGTTGCCTCTGCCATCGCTGCCTCCGCCGTGACCCCCCTGGTCCTGGCTCGCGGCCACCGCGTCGAGCGCGTTGCCTCCATCCCCCTGGTCATCGACAACTCTGCCCAGTCCATCGTCAAGACCAAGGACGCCATCGCCCTGCTGGCCAAGCTCCACGCCCTCAAGGACATCAACAAGGTCAAGGCCACCAAGAAGATCCGTGCCGGTCGCGGTAAGATGCGCAACCGCCGCTACGTCCAGCGCAAGGGTCCCCTTGTCGTCTTCTCCGAGGACAACGGCATCGTCAAGGCCTTCCGCAACATCCCCGGTATTGAGCTCGCCCATGTTGAGCGCCTGAACCTCCTCCAGCTCGCCCCTGGTGGTCACCTCGGCCGCTTCATCATCTGGACTCAGGATGCCTTCACCAAGCTCGATGAGGTCTACAAGACCCAGAAGGCCGGCTACACCCTGCCCGAGCACCTCCTGACCAACCCCGACGTCACCTCCCTCCTGGCCTCCCCGGAGATCAAGGCCGTCCTCAAGGCCCGTGGTCCTTCCAAGACCAAGCGCGCTTTCCGCAAGAAGAACCCCCTCACCAACCTCGAGGCCATGCTCCGCCTGAACCCCTACGCCGCCGAGTACAAGAAGGTCCAGCAGGCCAAGACCGCCTCCAAGGCCTCCAAGAAGGAGGGCGCCAAGAAGAACAAGAAGTTCGCCTCCACCATCACCCACGCTTAAGTGTCTTGCCTTCGCCTAGGCATCCCCCTTCGGTGTGTGTGTCTGCGTGAGCGTGCAATGTGGTGTGCGCATCGCTTGCCGCGCGCGTCGTGCGCATGTCGTGTGTCTCACGCTGCTTGCATGTTTCTTCTTTCACCCCCCTTTTGCGCCCTGTGTATATGCGTGTTTGTGCGTGTACGCGCTCGGTGCAGCTCCACCCCCCCTCCGGGCTCTTGTGTTTTCTCAATACATTTCCCACTTTTCCCCACTCTCTCTCTCTATCTCTCCCTATTCTCCTTCGCGCGCGCGGGGGGTCGTGCGGATGTGGCCGGACGTGCGACCTGTGTGTCTCCCTCTCCCTCTCTCTCCCGCCCGCCATCTTTTCCTTGTCAGTGGTTCCCGGCCCGGAAGTCACACGGGCCCAACCTCCAGAACCACGAGCAGAACGGAATGCGGTTCTCCGATCGGTCACATGCTATCGATCGATCTATTTTGCTCGGCCGGCGCGAGATCGGGGCTGCCGGAGTGTCGCCGTCAGCCGGGCCGGAGGGGCGCGGTCGGGGGCCCGAGAGCGAGGTGACTGAACTCTCGCGCGGTGTTGTCGGCACGCGCCTTGTTCTTTTTTTTTTCTTCTTTCTTCCCCTCCTCGCTGCTCACCACCGCTCCAGCATGCCGAGGGCCGCGCGTGCGTCGACCATGGTTTCCCGAGCGATGGCACGCGCACGCTCGGCCCCCATGCGTAGGATCTCATCCACCAGGTCCGGGTCGGCGCGCAGGCGGCTGACCTCCTCATGCACCGGGGCCATGCGCGCACACAGGGCATCGGCCACTGCCTGCTTGAGGACCGCATGCCCGGCATGGGCCAGATCCCGGGCCAGGGACTCCGGGGTGTGAACCACCCCGGCGGCCAGGTCGGCCGCGGTCCGCAGGTCATTCTGGCAGAGAGCCATGATGGACAGGAGGTTGGCGATCCCGGGCCGGCGATCCGGCTCATAGGTGACCCCCATCTCGGAGTCGGTGACCGCGCGGGCGATCTTCCGGCGCAGGTCCTCCGGCGAGTCGTCGATCATCAGGCGTGACCCGGCCGCCGGGTCGGACTTGGACATCTTCCGGGTCGGATCGCGCAGGCTCATGAGCCGGGCTGCCCCCGGGGCCAGGTCGGGCAGGACCGTGCGCGGGGGCGGGAAGACCGTGCGCTTGGTGGAGTTGTTGAACATGCGGGCCAGCTCGCGGGCCAATTCCAGGTGCTGGCGCTGATCGTCCCCCACCGGGACCTCGGTGGCGCTGATGGCCCGGGCACATGGGGCCTCATGGTGTTAGTCCAGGCGGCATTTTGCAGGCCGGCAAAGCTCGACAAAAGTGTCCCTGCCCGTGTGCACACACCGATAGGCCAGGACATCGGCCGCCATCAGGACCGGGTACATCATCAATCCGGCGAGCAGGTTCTCCGGGTCGCCCTGGCCAAGGTTCTCCGTCTCGGTGGTTGCCTTGTTCATGGACTGCCATTTGTCCTGGGGCGCGGGGTGGGTCAAAAGTGCAGGAGAGGCGGAGGGGAGGGGGCAGTGTGGAGACGTGAGTTTTGAGGCCAGTTACCGGTGGGGGGGGGGGGGGGGGACGGGCAGACGGGCGGGGGAGAGAACCGGTGCAGGGGGAGAGAAAACGGGAGCGAGGGGCCGCACCTTCCACTGGGTCATCCGCCGCAGCATGCCCATCGGCGTTTGGCAGGTCAGCAGCCAGGTCAGCTCGGAGTGCTCGTGCAGGTGGCTTTGGCAGAAGAGCACAACGTCAGGGTTGGACGGCCCGGCCGGGCCGTCATACCCGTGGGCCCGGACCCCGGACGCCAGGATGCCGATGGCCATGTCGCGGGTTTGCTCGGCCGGCGTCGGGGCCCCGGGGCGACGGGGAACCGTCAGCGAGTGGAGGTCCACGATGCAGTACAGTTGCGAGGGGTGGGCCAGCGGACCGTCCGACTGCTGCGGGGGGTAGGCCTCATGGCGGTACTCGGCCGAGAGGCGAGCCCAGTTGCTGAGGGCACCGGCGAAGTTGCCAAAGTGCGGCATGCCGGTTGGCTGGATGCCGGAGAAAACCCGGCGCTCGAAGTGCGGCGCCTTCGAGGCGGAGGAACTAAAGCCGGCGGCGGCTGTCAGGGCCGGCCGAAGGGCCGGCGTGGCGAGGGAGCGGCGGAGTGGTGTGGTGATCATCTGGCGGCTGGGGGGGTAGGGGGGGGGGGGGGAGGGGGGCGATGGAGGGAGGGTGGAGGGCGAGGTGTAGGTGCAGGCGCGGGCGCGGGCGAGTGAGAAACAGGTCTACCAGGCCGCTGTGCCGCGAATGTGGCTCATCCTGGCGCCATCTAGCTCTCGCTCCTCCTCGACGCGCCGGGACCCGGCCGTGGCCGAGCCGGAGCGAATGGCCTGGGCGGGTGTGGTGCTGACGCGGCTGAGGCGCGCGCCGTGCGTCGCCGGGTCGGAGGCCATGGGCCACTCTGCCCGGCAGGGATCTTCCCGTGGGGCGGGCGGGGGGGGCGGAACCGCAGGGCCTGCGCTACCTCCGAGCGACGAGTGTGGGAAACGTGGCTTACTTTAGGTGCCAATGTATCCTCGGTAAGATCCAAGTCCAACTGGCCATTGGTGGGCACTTGCCAGACGCATTTTACCTTGGCCGTTTGCCCCCCCTGGCAGGGGTCTAGGCGGGGCCTCGATCACCCCCGCCTCCGCCCCCGTGTCCCCCCCCCAGCCGATGCCGGGCATCGGGCGGCCTCTGTCGGGGAGGGAGGGGGGGGGGGGGCGGGGGGACGCGAACACGGCCGGCGGCCCACGCGTCGCAGCAGCCACAGGGTGGTGGCGGACGACAGGCCTGGGCACACTGGGAGGGGGGTTCGTGAGGCCCGTTGCCCCTCGCGTTCTGGCTGCGCACAAGCATGGTTGATCGTCGGCCCGATTGGCGGGGGGGGGGG